CCTCCCTGGTCAGCCGTCTGAGGTGTGCAAAGAAGACCGTCAGCGCCCAGTGGTTGTGCGCCTGGAGGAGCATGCTGCCGTTCAGCTCGTGCCGTCGCAGCAGATGATTGATGTAGGCGCGGCTGTAGCCATTCTGGCAAGTGTGGCAGTCGCAGCCGCCGGAGATGGCCATCGCCGACCGCCGGTGCTCTTCGCCGGTCAGGTCGAGCAGCCATGTGGGCGAGGAGGAGGAGGGTGACGGAGAAGGTGGTGATGCAGGTGATGGTGATGATCCGTCTTCATTTGTCAATGACTGGTGGTGGCGGGAAAAGCGCAGTCGAAGAGCGGCCAGGTCAATCAGCGGCGAGGGAAGGGCGACGCCGGCCGCCGTCAGCAGACTGGCAATGGACGAATCAAGACTGTCAATGCCCAGTTGGCCCACTGCCCGCAGCATGTCATCGGGGAGGAGGGCGCCAGGCAGGTAACGGGGCAGAGCAGGTGGCAGTGCCGGAAGCACCACCTCTTTGATGAGTTTGGTAATGGGAGCGGTGAGTTGATCGACGACCTCCAGAACGTCTCGACGGTGACCTCCTTTACCTCCTTCTTCACCTTCAACCTCCACTTCTCGAGTGGTGTGGTAGCCGAAGAAGCCGTCAATGACGACGCCGGCGAGAAGGTTGTTTGCGTGGGCGTCTGAAATGGCCTTGCAGCAGGTGGTTCGATCTCGCGCCGAGTAGCCACCAGAGCAGGTCGCCCAAACTGAGCTTAAACTTTTACTTTCTTCCAGCGAAGTCTTCAGACGTTTTGTGCTTTGGTCGCCCTCATCATTTTTTACTTCAGCAGCTCTGCCTCTTTTTTCGAGAACCTCCTCGAGCATTGCCACAGAACGAGTAGCCGCCTTTGTCGTCCACTTTTTGCCCGCAGTGGGTGGTGTGTTGACGTCTGCCAGCGATTGGAAAGCCACCGCCCCAGTCTGGCGGACAATGTCCAGTAGCTGCTCTACGGTGAACATCCGCTTTCCATGGTAGGTGATTAGCGGCACTGCAGCAGGCGTTGACTTCAAGTCCTGGTAAGAGCCGACTAACGGATCGGACAGTGTGACCAGAAAGTTGGCGTTCGCAAAATAGGACATCTTGGGGAACTGGTTGAGGACGCCGTTCATATGAAGGTCGNGGTGTGTTGACGTCTGCCAGCGATTGGAAAGCCACCGCCCCAGTCTGGCGGACAATGTCCAGTAGCTGCTCTACGGTGAACATCCGCTTTCCATGGTAGGTGATTAGCGGCACTGCAGCAGGCGTTGACTTCAAGTCCTGGTAAGAGCCGACTAACGGATCGGACAGTGTGACCAGAAAGTTGGCGTTCGCAAAATAGGACATCTTGGGGAACTGGTTGAGGACGCCGTTCATATGAAGGTCGTACAGGTCACCGATGAAGAGAGTGGTCAGTTGTCGTTGCTCCTTTTGATTTTCTTCATCGTCTCGAAAGATAACTCCATCGTTTCTAAGAACAAAGTTGCTGTCAAAGTAGGGAATTGCACCGGCTTTGCTGTAGAGAAGCAGCCGCGGCAGTGGTCTGCTTTGTATGTCAGTTGCTAACTTTTGATCATCAGTCATGTTTTGTTTGATAAGGGGCATCTCTTTTACTGATAATGAAAATANAGTTGCTAACTTTTGATCATCAGTCATGTTTTGTTTGATAAGGGGCATCTTTTACTGATAATGAAAATAAAGGAGCACAGATATAATCACATTTACAAAACCAAAACAGAAACTGAAATGAACCCACAGGCAAAACACGTGCGCCGCTGTAAAGCCTGTGCGTAGATGACATGATCTGGAACAGCAAAAAGAGGAAAATAAAAATCTCACAAAACAGTTTTGGAACTCTTACCTCTTTTTCATTCACTTGGCGCTAAACTTGACCCACTTCGTCGGCCTGACCTTGTTGAAGGCCTTGTTGTAGCAGCGGGCGCACTTCATGCGGTGAATATTGCCATCGGGGGCGGCGGGCTGCTTGTTGCCGCACTTGATGCACTGGTAGACGGAGGTGACGGTGTCATCGATAGTGCACTTTGGCAGCTCGATCTTCACCGCCTCCGGATCGATGTAGCCGTCGTGGTCGTCGAGGTACACCAGGCCCTTCACGTCCTCCAGCCAGCTATCGTCGGTGTCGAGGTTCACGTGGCCATCCTCATCGGCAGCAGCTTCAACGACGGCTGGCAGCTTGATTGGCTGCAATTCAGCAGCAGCGGCGGTGGTCTCAATCTTGACGCTGATTTCGCCTTGCTCACCCCCGCTGCTGGTCATAGTCAGGGCGGCCGTCGCCACCTCCAGCTCAACCGTCTGCTCTTCATCTTCGGTCTTCACCGAGGACGACCTAGACCTGGTTCGGTATCGCGTGTTCATGGCTTTCTCTGCTGAAATTCACGTGTGAAAATAAATGCGTTTTGTTTTGATTTTGAAAAATATCTTTTCCCTGTACGGTGGCGTCATCCGACGGCAGGTGAAGACACTGCTCTTTTTTCAAAAACAAAAAATGGACTTTTTCGGCATATCACGACTGGGACAAAAAGACGGTTTTTATAAAAACTAAAAGAAGAATAAGAAGTTGCTGCTGTTGACATACAAGACCAAAACAAATAAAAACAAATCAGCAAGACAACTGTACATCAGCAGCAATAGTATAAACACATAATTGTCCGACAGCAGAGCATACAGCAGCAGCAAGCTAGTCAGATCAGTCCGAAGCTGTAGTGGTGCTCTTGATAAGACTGACCTTCTTCGAAGCGGTGGTATCCTCGGCGGCGCTCAAACGTCTTGACTTGGGGCTGGAAAGGGCGCCCAGCTGACTGCTTACCTTCAGCTTGGAGGACTGCGACCGCTCCTGCGTGCTCTCGGTGCTCGCCTTACTACCACGACCACCAGCCTTGCCACTCTTGCCACTCTTCTTCTTGAAGGAGTTCTTCAGCACCAGTCCTTTGGCGTACTTGCAGGCGCAGAAGACCATCAACGCAAGGACGGCCAGTAGGGCGAGGGCGACGCCGAGGAAAATGAACAGCTCGCTGCGACGCAGACCGCTTTCCGCTTCCTCGCCCACCACCTGACAGCGACCTCCGTCCAGGTTGGCGCTTACCTTGAACTCATCGGGGCATTGGAAGAACTTCTCATAGGGCGTGCCGATCACCGCAAAGTCTAGCGAGCGGTGGTTGTCCTGGTCGTAGAGCGCCGCCAGGTCGGTGCCCTCCTTCCAGCCGAGCACCGCGTAGACGCAGCCCTTCTCGTCGTCAAAGAGGAACAGGGTGCCATTGGCCACGTTGTCGGTCCACGTTCCTTGGGGCAGCGTGGAGAAGGCGTTTCGAGAGGGGGCGCCCTCTGGGGCCGGCACCAGGCGGAGGGTGTTCTCCAGGCCCGGGGCCCAGGTGGCGAAATAGTGCTTGCCCTTCTGGTCGCGGTTCACGCGGTACTCGTCGTTGGGGTTAAGCGTCATAGAGTAGAAGATGAAGTGCTTCGATAGATTGTCCCATTCTAAACAAAGGAGTAGGGTGGGGTGGGTGGAAATAGAAACAAAACAAAACTAGGATTCTTAATTCAGAAATGTCCCCCTCCCACTTACCAATGCCAATCATGTAGGGCACCTGGCCGTCCTCCCGCTCCGGCCCGTGGATCATCGCAAAAGGGTGAAAACCAACATCATCGTGCCAGATCGCCTCCACCAACAGCCCCCCGTCCTGCATGTAGAAGAGCAGCCACTTCCGCTGCTCCTCATTTCGTACTCCACCCATCTTCACGTGGAAGAAGTAGATGCTGCGGACCGGCTGCTCGGGCTCCAGCAGAACCATCTTCATGCGACTCTCACTAAACGTCCAGGTGATGTCCTCCTTCACAGTGGCACTGTTCACCGTCAGGCTGGACTTCTCAATGGAGACGCAGGTGTTCTCCAGACAAACGGCCATCTTCTGCGGGCTGTTCCAGGTGATCGACTGGAGGTGCTTGCCGAAGGAGCCTTTGCTCTTGGCCGGCTTGCAGATCAGTTCGACGCCACCGGTCCCCTCGGTCTTGATTGAGGAAAGGTTAGAGGTGAGCATCATCACCGCCAATGCCGCACCCAAAAAGGTTACCCAAAGGCGCATGGTTGTCAGAGCCTGGGTCAGGGGGTTTTTTTGTTGCAGAAAGACACTAAACTGAAGATTGGTGGTAAAAAAAGCAGAGTAATGGGTGATAGCAAAAGCAAAATGACTGTAACTGTGAAAGGATAAACTACAAATGATACTAGAAATCGAACTCACTGGCTAATCAAAACAATGAGCAGCGACAAAAAAACAAACAAAATTCTGATGCGCACTTTTTTACGTAACAATAACAATGTATAATTTTTTACTTTCTGCCAACTAGCTAATGATCATAATCACACCAGCTAATTAATTAGCAGTCCTTTCTGATAAACTTCGCTTAAAAAACAATTGTCTGTGTGCGTCGTAGACAAGCTATGTACAAGTGATGATGAATAAAGTAGAAGTGCTCGTTTCTCAGCTCACGCTGCACACCGCCTCGTAAACTGCATTTTGATGGGCGTGTGCGACTTTGAGATGATGGCAAAGTCGAGGAGAATGTCCTCCTGCCTGGTCAGCGATCGAATGGTGTACCACCGAAGAATAGTTGTCAAGAAGATCTTCAGCTCCATGTTGGCGAATTTTTGGCCGATGCAGTTGCGGACCCCACCGGAGAAGGGAATGAAGGCAAAGGGGTTCTGCGATACGGTGGAGTTGGGCGAAAAGCGCTCCGGAATGTAGTGCTCCGGCTTCTCGTACACCTCAGGGTCACGGTGAATGGCGTAGCTAAGGACGAGGAAAGTGGTGCCCGACGGTACTAGGTACTTATCGCACTGAAAGTCTTCGGAGATGGTGCGAGCAAAAAAGGCCGCCGGTGGATAGAGGCGCAGAACCTTGAAACAAAAGATGATTATCAAATACCTTTACTACCAAACCATTACCTCCTTGATGCACATCTCCATGTAGGGCATCTGCTTGAGGTCATCAGCAGTCACGTCCCGTTCCAGGTCGTCGCCAAAGATGCTGTCCAGCTCCTCGTGAATTAGAGCCTGTTGTAAACAGTGAATTTTAGAAACCCAAACAAACACAAAACAAACAAATAAACTCACCTGCTTATCCCGATTAAGGCCGAGCAGCAGCAGCGCAAAGTGGAGCGTCGTCGAGGTGGTGTCATGGCCGCCGAACATGAAAGTGTCCACCTCCTCGCGAATGCTCACCAGGTCAAAGTCGTCCTGCCCTTTGAGGTGGTACACCAGCAGCAGGTCGAGAAAGTCCATTCGGCTGCCCTCGCTGATGTGCTTGATCGCCTGCTCGACGCTCATCGAGTAGTCGAAGCGGGCCTCCATCTCCGCCTTTCTCTGGGTGATCACTTTGTTGGTGAAGGCGTGCATCGTTCGGACGTGGGCGGCGCTCTGGCGCCCGCTGGGGAAGAGGCGAAACATAAAATCGAGGTACAGCCAGGGACTGATGAAGCGGTGGAGGACAATGTCGAGGAAGGAGCGCACGGCGTCGGCGTACTCGCTTTCGGGCGTCTTCTTGGCATGATCTGCGCCCGACTTTTCCCAGTCAATCCACGCCTGCTGGGCATTCACCCGAATGCCCATCGCCGTCTGGCAGATGATGTCCACGGTGCAGTTGGTGACCACGGGGCGCATGTCCTCGACGACGGCCACTCCCTTTTTAGTGGAGTCCATCTTCGACTCGATGACGCCCAGCAGCGTCTTCAGCTGTGCGTTCATCACTGGAATGAACTTGTTCAGAATGGCAAAGTGAAAGGTTGGAGTCAGCAGCTTGCGATGCTTCTTCCAATGCGGCCCCTTGCCGGTGAGCAGGCCTTCGCCCAGCCAGGGCTTNTTAGTGGAGTCCATCTTCGACTCGATGACGCCCAGCAGCGTCTTCAGCTGAGCGTTCATCACCGGAATGAACTTGTTCAGAATGGCGAAGTGAAAGGTTGGAGTCAGCAGCTTGCGGTGCTTCTTCCAGTGCGGCCCCTTGCCGGTGAGCAGGCCTTCTCCCAGCCAGGGCTTGATGAAGTCGTACTCCTGCGCCTTGGCGATGTTCCGAGTGTCAGAGAGGATTGCCTTGAAGTTGGGGAGATAAGATTTAGAAACGCTTTGTTTACATTAAGATCAACTCTACTCACTTCGGCGGCTCTGGCGGTGAAACAGGCGACCACATGGCGGAAAGGGCCGATGCGAAAGTAGAACAGACTTTGCTTCATCTCGTGGACGATCCTCGTCACTCCGATGGCGATGTTTGCAAAGACTGAAACAATTTTTCAATTTAGATACATTTTTCACTCTACTCACTTACAAACAGTAAAGTGAAGGTGCGTTCCTGAGGTGATCCAAAAGTGCTCCATATGGCCTTTAAAAAGTGAAAGAGCACGAATAACATGATAAAGTGAAAGATCCCGAAACTTACCTAGTAGATTGCCAAGGATGACTGTCGTTGGGAGAGTTGGCAAGTGGGCATACCTTCGCCTGGTTCGAATTTGCTGAAGTAGAAAGGAGCCGCCTAGGATGGTGATCACCACGGTGAGAAGAACTGTCTTCAGCAACCAGGCAGGATCGACAGTTGGGCACAGCAGACTGGTGATTAGCTCAGATATAGTGGAAGACATTGTCTCAAAAACTAATATTTGTGATAATGATGATTATTACCAAAAGGATCCCTTCTGGACGCCCTCTTTATATACGCACCATTTCAGCCCCACTTTGCCCTTGTCAACAACAACAACAAGTGTAAACAAACATCGCTGATCACTCTTGGTCAAAGTTTTTAAGGCTCTTAGTTTGTCTCTTATCATCGTTCCAGTTGCATGTTAGCAGATGCGTTGGGCTTCACAAGAAAATAGCAACCAAAAATCGGCATTGATCATCAATCAGACAGCTAAGCCAAGTTTGATGCTAGTTCGTGATACCATTGTGGTGATGATAAAAGGCAATCTCGTTCTGACAGACTGGAAACGACCAAGGGCTAAATGAAAACGCTCCATTTATCAGTGTACTTGGTGATAAAAGTTGAGGCTGCTGATGTTGTTGTTGTCCAAGTGCCAATCAAGCGAGAGTAAGTTCAATCAGTTTAATCAGCGTTTACATTGTGTCCACCACCACCATCATCACAATTACTAAGAAGATTTGAGGCGGTAGAAAAGAAGGTGGTAGTGGTGACATAGCAACCGATAGTTGCTGCTGTATCATACTACTCCAAAGTATTTAAAAATTGAAATTTTACAAATGTAAATAGTGTAAAAGGTGTGAGTGTTTAGTCCAGGTGCTGAGAAAGGGGAAGTGGGAGAGAGGGAGAGATTTGGACTACACTAACACAACGAGGTCTCTAGAGGTAGAGACCCTCGGGTGTGCCCTCCTTCTTGCGGTAGAGGACATTGTCCTTGGACTTCTTAAAGTCCTCCGCCGTGACCTTCATGCGGCGCTCGCGCAGCGCCATCAGTCCGGCCTCCGTACAGACCGCCTTAATGTCGGCGCCGCTGAGGTCGTCCTTTGCGAGGACCAGGTCGTCAAAGTTGACGTCCTCTGCCAGGGTCATCTTCGCGGTGTGAATGTTGAAGATGCGCCGCTTCGTCTTCTCATCCGGCAGCGGAAACTCAATCTTGCGGTCAATGCGACCGGGGCGAATGAGGGCGGGGTCGAGCGTCTCAATGCGGTTCGTCGCCATGATCACCTTGACGTCGCCGCGCGAGTCAAAGCCGTCCAGCTGGTTCAGCAGCTCCAGCATGGTGCGCTGAATTTCGCGCTCGCCGCCAGAGTTGGAGTCATAGCTAAAGTGAGGTGAACAGATTAGCTGAAGTTCATTTAACTAAAAAAGTCCTCCTTACCGTTTCGTGCCGACGGCGTCAATCTCGTCGATGAAGACAATGGAGGGAGCGTGCTCCTCGGCGACGCGAAACAGCTCTCGTACCAGCTTTGGTCCGTCGCCGAGGTACTTCTGAATTAGCTCCGAGCCGACGACGCGGAGAAAGGTGGCCGAGGTCTGATTGGCGACTGCCTTCGCCAGCAAGGTCTTCCCCGTGCCCGGTGGGCCGTAGAGGATGACGCCCTTTGGTGGTTTGATGCCCATCTCCTCGTAGTACTCAGGATGGGTGAGCGGCAGCTCCACACTCTCCTTGATCTCCTGAATCTGCTGGTCGAGGCCGCCAATGTCGGCGTAGGTCTCCTGGGGCGCCTTCTCCAGCTTCATCACGTTCACCATCGGGTCGACGTCGTCGGAGAGGACGCCCACGACGGCGTGCACCTTGTGGTTGAGGAGGACGCAGCAGTTCGGCTCCAGCTGCTCCTTGTCCACAAAGGAGAGAATGGAGACGTAGTGCTCACTGCCCACTGAGGTGCTCACAATGGCGTGATTGTCGTCGATGATCTCCTCGAGGTTGCCCACTGACATTGGAGTGCCTGAAAGAGAAAATTTTAGGATGATGACGCAACTTTTCTTCAGTTAAAAACAATCATCACTCCCTTACCTCTCAGATCGTCCACCTTGCTGCGCTCATCGTCGGCGTTCTCCTCCTTGTCCTGAGTGGCGGCGTTGATGGTGGCGTTGCAGTTCTTGAGGAACTCCTCCTCGAGCAGAAGCCAGTCCTGGATGCGCTCCAACTTCAGCAGCTTCAGCAGGCACCGGGTGTGCGGCGTCACCTGCGGCAGCTTCGACGCCGAATCGGGGCCCTTTCCGCCCTTGCGCTTTCGTCCGCGGATCGACGGCGGCGGCGGTGGCGGCGGGCGTTCACGCTTCTGACGCTTTGAGTCCTTGTCATTGCCTCCGCCACCCGATCCACCACCACTGGACTGATTTTGTCCCTAGAAACGAAGCAAAAAAAGGTTGTTGTTGTTGACTTGTCAGCATTCAAAGGTGTTGATAAGTTTTCGGCAAACAAAACTCTTACCATTTTACACTGAGCTGCAAAAGATTCAGTTGTACACACAAATGTCTTCTAGTCACAAGTCTTCGGCAAGTACTCCTCTTTTACCAATGATGATCAAGTGATGAAATGAAAGAGATACTCTTTGCTGAACAAAACAGAACAGACAGGTAAACGACAAATCAGCAGACTGTTTTGCTGGCAGACAGACCAACAACACCAAAATATGCTGTGTAATCTGAGGTGACGTCTGCACGAAAAGACAAACGCTCAAAAAATGCTCCCGTCGCAGAAGACGTACCAGTTCTTTTCGAACTGAAAAGGGAGTTCTATTTTTTGCCTTCACAAAAATGGAACTCTGTGATTTGCCTTTTTGCAGTACAGTAATAATAATTCAGTAGAGTTTAATAATAATTTAACAACAGAGTTTGAAAAAATAGAAAACAAAAACAGCGGTTCAATTTGCTGCGGGCGGCTTTGCGTTTGACTGGAGCACATCAATGTAGCGATTCCGTCCGCGGAACTGACTGCCCGGGCCACCTGCTCGTGCTGGCGCTGGAGCAGAGGGAAAGGAGGGGGCGAGGGAGGAGGAGGAAGAGGGAAGAGTTGGGGATGGGCCCAGAGAGGAAGATGGAGGAGGAAAGAGAGGGCCGACGCCATTGCTCAGCTGTGTGGATTGCGGTGTCGAGGTGCTGTTGGCTGCCATTGCAGGGCCACCAGCAGCAAATGTCGACGGTGGACCACCAGCTCCACTTGGACCACCTCCTCCACCANGCCACCAGCAGCAAATGTCGACGGTGGACCACCAGCTCCACTTGGACCACTACCTCCACCAGGCAACATCTTTGGTGGTGGCGGCAACGCCGAAGAGTCACTGCCATCAGCAGAGGCGTTCTTGTCGACCCACTTGTTCAGCACCGGATCGAAGATGATCGTAGGGTCCTTGTCATCGGGCAAGATTGCTTGATTTTTTGCTGCAAAAATGAGAGGAAAAATAGTGTTAGAGCTGAAACTAGCACACGCCTCATTACAAAAACTTACGTTTGATAATGCCAAAGATTGAGCTTAGAAGGCCGCCATTCTTCGAGGGCGAGCTCTTCGTCGAGTCCGGTTTTGAGCTGGAAGTGCCCTCTGCCGCCTTCCTCTCCGTCTGCTTACTACCGCCACTGTGATTGCCCACCTGCTGTTGATGGTTACTGCTGTTGCTGTTGTAGTTCGAGTAGTCATTCAGGTAACTACCACCGCCTGACTTCTGCTGCTGCTGATCAGCGGGATGGTCCTCCAGTGGAAAGGGATCGTACGTGGGAATGCTGGTCACCTGACCGGAGGACATAAAGTCAAAGGGCGCAGCGGTGTCGTAGGAGTTGGTGGCTGATGCCGCTGGAGGGGGCGGCATAAAGAAGGAAGGCTGCTGCTGAAGATTCGTTGCCGGTGGTGTTGGAAGAGAAGGAACTGAAGGAGCAGGAGCAGCAGTTGTTGTCGTTGTCGAAAGTGGAGTAAACGCAGAAGGCGGACCGGAAGTAAGTGAGGAAGAAGGCATAGAGTTGGGTAGGCCAAAGAGAGCGTCTCGAGTGGGCGGCACTGAAGGAGGAGGAGGAGGCTCAAAAGTNAACGCAGAAGGCGGACCGGAAGTAAGTGAGGAAGAAGGCATAGAGTTGGGCAGGCCAAAGAGAGCGTCTCGAGTGGGCGGCACTGAAGGAGGAGGAGGAGGCTCAAAAGAAGCGGTTGCAGAAGTTGAAATAGCCCCAACCGAGCTTCTACTTCGGTCAATGACGTCCTCTGAGGTGATGGATGAGGACAACGACAGCGACTTGAAGGCGTCAACAGTTTGCTGCTGCTGCTGCTGCTCATCCACAGTTCCATTGCTCTCCATCATTTGCCGCAGCTGCTGCTGCTGCTGCTGATCACCACCGCCAAACATCTGCTGGCGGCCACTACTTCCTGAATCGGCCACCAACTGCTGATGCTGCTGCTGATGATCACCACCTTCATCGC